GCCCATTGTTAAATAAACCTTTAGACATTTATAATGGCTTCAGCATTTCCTGCTTTTTACAGTTCCAAGAATGCTGAATGACGTGCAGACACACTTCATCAGGATAAGATTGCTGTATCAGCCCCTCACTAAAATGCACTCATTATTCAAATAATAACTGTGTGTCTCCAGCATGTGTTCTGTGAAATACGTGTACATGGTGTGGGCGAATAAACCGGCCCCTTTTCTTCAACATGCAAATCCTAACTTTAGCAGTGAGTTGAAATACTTTAGATTTTGAGTCCTTTACTACCCAAAATGAGGCACCTGAGCAGAGATGTGTTAAAATTTTCAGAAGTTGGTAAATGTGGTTTAAGGGGGACTGATTTCATTTAGAAGTTGAAGTCCCGTGGTGAGTCTCATTTTGAAGACGGGACACGAGCAGTAGTGGTCAGTAGGATGCTCTGGAGAGGTTTGTCTTCATGAACGCTGAAGCCCGCTGGAATCAATTGGGAGGAACGGCAGGTCCGCGGCATTGCGGGGGCTCAGAGTACTTGTTTTGGAGAGGACAAATATGGGTCAGAAATGACAAATGTCAGAAATATGCCAAGCAAATCAGCTCTCTAAAGTAAGTTTTGTTTCTTCTAGCTGTCAGGAGAGGAATTTATAATTTTATTTTTCTCCTATCATCTCATATATCTTTAAATAATTCCTACAGAAGAGAGAACTAGCAAGGAACATATTTCTTACACTGATGTGGGTGTTTGCTATGTCATTAACACTTGGAGGAGAACCACCATCTTTAAATCCTGTCCAGACAGGTTTAAAAGTAAGACTGAAAGAAGAACGATATTTCATTTAATTAAACACTAGATGAAAATCCATCCATGTTCTTCCTTCCTCTCTTTCTCGGTTTGGAAATAATGATGACAGTACTTATTTTGGAAAAAGTATTGGCATTTCATCTTTTGGGGTACTTGCATATTTGTGGAAGTGGAGATTGTAAAATTATTCCATATACCGGGTGTGTCCTGATCACTTTCTATCGAGAGCAGTAAAGCTGGACTGAAAGTCATGCTTATGAAGTGAAAGAGAGTAGAAAAGGTTCAACATAAACGGCATCATTTTAGGTTGAGAGCAAGAGGCTCCAGTATATTCTGAGAACATCACACAGTCAAAATGTTAAGTACCTGTTTATGTGTTTTATTCACAAGCCATGGGCTCTGATATTGCTCATTATTCTGCCTTGTCTAACCTCAGATAACTTAAAATTACAATAATAGCTTGGTTTCTTTCAAGTGGCTAATGTGTTCTGTACAGCAGGGATATCACTGGGGGTCTGATCCTGCGCGACATCATCCCCGAAGCTCCTGCAGAAGTTGTAGGTACTTAGGTCCCTCTTGTGCAGTTTTCAGGCTAAGAGATGCAGTGCTGCATTTCGGGACAATGTTCTCTCTCTGCTCTCAATACTGGTTCAAAGAGCCAGATCAACATAAAAGAGAGCTAAAGGATCCAAGCCTGACCTAGGTCATTTGGTGCTGAACGGGGGAATACGGCAATGAGCTGTAATTTGAGCAGCCCTTTTCCCCTCTCTGCTGGGTAACGGCTTCTACTACTTTAATGTATTCAAAGTAATAAAAGTTTAACTCAGCCAGTTATAGAAAATTATTGATAAAAATTGGAAGAGTTTAGATAGGACTATTGAGTTAGTCCAAAAAACAGAAGATGCTTGCTGAAATGGAAATTAATTGAGGAAAAGGGATGTGATGGGAATTAGGCAGAGAAAACAGCAAGAGGAGATTGGCTTTTCCTCTCCTTATCCCTTCTCGTGGCCACTCTTTGCCACTGGTACCAAGAGGACAAGTGGACAGGAAGGGACAAACTGCCACCGTGGCAAGTCACGTCATGCTTATCACCGGAGCTGTCCCGAGAGGCTGTGTCAAAGGGAATGGTCTCAGTAGCCTCCTCGCCTCTTACGCTTGCACACAGTGCTGAAAATTATGTAGAGTATGGGTTTGTATTTCTCCTCTTACTGCCTTCATGTTGCTTATTTTCTTCATTCAGTTCTGCTGCTTCTTTCTCTTTTCTCTGCTTTGTCTTGACCGCATCATGCACAGAACTGCGGCGAAGGAGCGGGTCGTGGCAACGTCTGGTGCAGTGTTACACTGGGGCGAGTGTGCCAGGTCTGACCCAGAGATCAGGTTCTGGTGAGATCATGTTCTGCTTGGATTGTCCAGCAGGCAAAACTGCAAGTAAGAGGAAGGGTTTTATCGACGGATTCCTTATTTTTTGTTCTTTTTTGCTGTTCTCTTCATTCTTGTTTCGTGAAGACCTGTTTGCCCACACTGTGCTGCCTTCAGAAAGCAGAGTTAGATCTCAACAATAAGCCACTCCATCTTACCTCAACTAACTTTCTTTTTGCCTTGGAAGAGACATAAATAATATTTTTAACATCTTCTGTGAGATTGGCAGGCAGGGATGTTTTCCTCACTGAAACCCTAACAATTAAAGGAAACAAGCAGCATATTTTGAGTGAAATATTTAATACCTTGTTTTACTTTCTTTTTTTTCGTAAATGATTAGTGAGGTTTCAGCGACAATAATTTGCTGTGCCACAAAGTTGTGCCTTTGCCTGAACTTGGAACTCTCCAGTAGTTTTAATCCTAGTTCTGGGAAGCAGGTCTGTGCCAACATTTAACTGCTCGAGCCAGTTTCATCTGGAGGTATCACCATGCCCTCCGCTCCCTTCTCACCTCAGGTACATCAGATTTTCAGTCTAGGTAGTTTTGGTGCTTGAAAATTGGGAGGATGCAGAAATGGCATAAAATGCCTTTACAGTCCCTGTGCCCTTCCCTCCTCATTCTCCTTCAACGGCTTATTCTTAGAAACCCAACAGAATCTCATTACGCTGCTAGCGAGCGTACCTGGCACTAATTTGTCACCACTGTATACCAGGCGAGACCTGCGCTGATGCTTCCCACGGCAGCATTCCCTTCAGCATGTGTGCATTCACTCTCCCGTCTCCTTTTCCCATTACACACTCCATTTTTTCCCTCTCTATGCAGCCAACACAAGAGACCTCAGATCACCACGGCAGATTACTCGCCCACCCCTTCTGTCCCCCCTTCTCCCTCGAGAAGGCAGCCGTGATTTATCTGCTCATGTGGGTGAGCAGGTGGCAGTTGGACTCAAGGCTGAGCCCGCTTAGCCTGTGATAAATAACATATTTACCGGCCCTTCCATCTTCAAATGCTGTCCACATGCAGTCCAGAAAGCAGTGCAGAACTCTTAATAGCAAACACATCCAGGCTTCAGCAGACGCGGGAAACGGGGGGAGTGTTTTCCTGCTAGAAGTAGGTTGGAATTGAAGCCTGCTCCTCGTCCCAGTACCTTTTATTCACATTCCTGGAATTATCTGGTGCGTTTGCTTTATCCCCAGCCATCTGTGATGGGCTGAGCTGGGAGAGATAAGCTCAGTAATCAGAAAATTGAGGGAAGCATTTCTGGCTGTGATAATCTTATCAGGCAGCTAATATACATTAACATTTGTACAGCCCGGTGATGCAGGTGGGCCTTTGCTTATTTTTTCTTCCTGGATGCCTCTTGACAGGCGAGGGGAGAATGCAGGGCTTCGGGGTGCCGGGGGGGAATTTGGCTAAAACCTCTTTTTTACCCTCTCTCTTCTGCTCTGTCCCTGCGATATCAGAAAGGGGAGGGAGAATAATCCAACCGTCCCTTTTCTGCCCTTTGCTGCTAACAGAGCTGCCGTGCTCTGTCTGTCATTTCTGGTATGCATGGAAGGGCAAAGAGGCAGTATGTCAAAATTTCAGTTCTGGCTGAGCAATATGACTGCACGTGTCAATATGCTCCTCTGCCTTGTAAAATCGGGGAGCTTCTGCCGGCTTGCTGTCTTTGCAAGAAGTTTGCCATCACAATGGGATTTTGCTCTACAAGTTGAAGGAAACGGTGTATTAATGGATTATTTCCCTGATGCACTGAGCTCTCTGTGGTCATATAAGTTTTGCATCTGTAATTAGGGCTGGATTGCTTATTGTTCTCCTCCTGAGTGAAAAATACAGTTTCTGTCAGTAGATTTATTAGGGGAATTAGTCGCCAGGTGCTAAAAGACAGATGACAAAAGGAAATCCAAAATCTCAAGGATGAGGTTGAAGGAGGTTTAAGCTGGGAGAAGGTGCTGGAACAGAAGTTTGAGTATCCTCTAGGTAGTTTGTCTCTGCTTACACTTCATAATAAGTAATTCTCTGAGGGGTTTAGGATCAAGTAACATATGTAGTTTATCAATCTATGCACCATCTTGATAGCTGAATTAGGGATGCAGATTCCCATAAGTGAGGGAGCCTGGGAATGGTGGAGTCTGCGTTAGAAGTTTTCATGTCTGTAGAGTTTTTGAAGTACTTTTTTTGTGAGTTCCTTCGCAAACAAGGCCAGAGGCAGAAAGTATTCTTAATTGTTTGTTTGTGTGTTTGTTCATTCCACCAGAGCTACCTGAGCAGCTTTAGCTAGAAGCGTATATTGGAAAGTGCTGGAAATATTCCCCAGTCTTTTGGATTCAATGGATGTGTGTCAGAGTTGTCCTGGACAAGGCAGCATAGTCCTGTGGATCCTTTCTTCTGGGGAGGAATTGAAGCTAAATGAGGTTGAACTGTCGATACAGAATCTCGAGTACCAGTTTGCTCCTCATACCACACAGATAATTCTCTGCATGCCATTATCTACGGGGGACAGGTTGGGGGAATATCTGGAAGAGAAGCGAAGCTTTGCTTAGAAACAATCAGCTTTTTGTGCTACATCTACCTTGGAGAAAATGTTGGAGAAGGAAAAGGGGTTGCAAAGGGAAGCAGGGCTAACCGAGGTTTTGACATTCAACACATGAAGAGTTGTGCTTCATGTCCATATCCTGAGAAAGGTCTGATCTGTGCAGAAAATCGCAATCTCCTCCTTTTGCTGTTCATGTGTGCCCCTTATTAGTATAGAGGAACTAATGCCTTTCTCTTCTGCAGCTGGAGGTGGAGATGAAGGTCCTGAAGTCTCAGGAGTGCACAGCTGAACAAAGTACCGTCATCACCAAGGAGGAGGTTGACACGCTCAGGTAGGCAAAGCAAGGGGAAGGCTGAGAAGATTCAACTGTTCTCAGTGGAACTAATGAGAAGGGAAGTGCCCAGGGCAGTTTCACTGCCTACTCTGGTTATTGCCATCTCATGGTAGAGCACCAGGTACAGGACCTCACCATGCTACAACACGTGAAAAAGTATATGTGTATAGACTGCCTAGGTACATAGGCTGCCCGCTATTCAGGGGGCAGCGTGGTAGCTTTGATCAGAACGTGTTTTCCTCATATTTCTGAAGTAGGGTGTTCTTTTCCCAAGCACAGTTTTTACTTTCCCACCAGCTTTTATGGACATGAGAAATCCATGAAGCATTAACAGAAACCTCAGCCTCTGATCTTTCCTGCATTCAGATACTTTATAAGCTTTTCTGTCTTTTGGGAGGCTGCAGACTCTTTTCTTTCCATGTTGGGGTCTCTTGCTCTCATAGGACTGGCTCCTGCGTCACTATTCCCCCTGTTGACTTTCTTTCCTGTGGAAACAGCATTGTTGTTTGTTTCTTATTTTGACCAAATCTCAATTGTAAATACAGGATCTGTTGGCATGTGTGTGAAGAGGTTTAGAATCTAGCTTTTGTAATACTGATGTGCATGTAGCACTGGAGATAAAAGAAGGATGTTTCCCCTCGTGCATTGCTGCAGATGGCAGAGGGGTACCTGTTGTGATTCAGTGAAAGAGAAGTTACAAAACAGCATTTCAGCAGAGGATACATGAGCATTTACAAAAGCTACAGTGAAGCTAGACAACCTTTCCATGTATTTATTAAAGCATTTACAGCTTCCATTCCAAAGCAGGTGACACAATAAATACCGAGCATAGAAAAGTTCATCTGTTTCTGAATGTTTAATAAAGTCCGTTTTATTTAAGCTGAGCAAATCAGATCTTGACAGGTTGAGTTTTTTATTCTCAGCTGATGTAAGACTTTGGCTGGAGTTTCACTTCTTAATTCTTTTATATTTTCAGCTCCATCACTATAAAGCGTTACTGCCTCATAGGACTGAAAGCAAGATTTTGCAGCAAGCAGAATCTTGCAGAAAGCAGAAATTACTGGCCTGTACGTTATGACTTTTCTCTTGTGCTTTGCCTCTGGAGCTTGTTTTACGGCTTTGAAAGGAGAGGGGAGGCATTTGAAAATAACACATGTTCGGCTAAGCTATTCCAATACGTTTTAGGGCTGTACACCTAATCTTAGGGACTCGCTGCTATGGTTCCCTCAAGGTGGTGTAATAGTTCTGGTGACCCAAGGCATACATCTCCCTTTTTTATTCTGTCATATGTCTGAGTTCTGGTAAAGGACAGTATGCTATGGCTTCCCTTTTTCAGGGGAATAAACCTGTCTCCATCTGCTTTTGCATATTGTGGATGTTTGACCTGAGCTCATTCAGTTTTTTCCTTTGCTGAGGTGTGCTAGACCCTCTGAGACCTGATGTTTATACTGCTGCAGAAGTGTTCAGCACCTCCTCAGCAGCATTAAACCCATCATTCCTGATTAATAACGTGCCTGTGTATCAGTAAAGCCAGCATCCTGTTTGCTGTCTTCTGGGAGCTGAAGGTTTTCAGAGTATTTCTGTGGTACCTCCTTGGTCTCTCCCTCCCTGAGCTGGTATGGGCTGCAGCACCCTTTCATGTAGGAGATGTTCAGTCTCTTTATTTTCACCTCCAAGACTCATTATTTGGTGTTTATCTTCACCGAACAGCATTTGCCATCTATTAACTGCAGCTTCAGGGGCAGTGCGTGTGGGGGGAAGAAGCTGGATTGCAACTAGTCCAGGAGCACTTCGTATTGCAGAAGGCTCTCTGGGATAGGGGTGTCTGGCTTTGTCCCAAATTAAAATCTATTTCCTGGGCAGGGACAAGTGGAGCTCGCAAGTACCTGCTTGTTAGAGGATTGTGGTGTTTGGTTCAGCTCAAAGGTAGCCTTAAACTCCCCTAGATAATGTTTTTCTTTCTTTGTTTTCAAAGAATTTCTTTGACCGCTAATCTCCTCTCTCTCCTCCTTTCATGAAATCGTTTGACAGAAACACAGGCCCATTCCCAGTAAAGCGGTGGATGGTGCGGAGCTATTCTCCAGTGATGAGCCGTCCACTGAAAGCTGTTTCAGCAAAGAGGTTAAGCTTCTGCAGTTGTTTCATGGTGATTTTTTTGGCTTTTCTTCTCTTTTCCATTTCAGTACCACATGCTCCTGAGGCTATGGATGCACAGAGACCGCAGTCCCGGGATCTAATTCCAGGCTGTTTTTTCTGTTGCTTTTTACTGAACCACTTTTTATTGTTATGGCTGATTTAAATACTTGTCCCAGGCCCTGATGCTAGTCATTTAGCTGCAAAGCTGTTCCAAAAAGCATGGATTTGTTTGGTTTTAATCACCCTTTTCACTGCTCAGCTCTAACAGTAAATGATGTGGTGGAAAGTGTTCTTTTTCTGCTGGAGCCGTCTTTGCTGGAGAACTGGTAAGCCAGTCCCTGCTCCTTTCCCTTACTGCTGGCTACTATTGCTGCTTCAGGTGTCTTCTCAGACTCTCAAGCACTCCACGCAGCACTGTAGAGTTGACTCCATAGCTATTTTTGTCTTATGCTTCTAGACTTGAGCAGTCAAAGGATATGGTTGGGCCTAATTTTGTGTTTTCTGGCATTTTTTGTGCATTGGACAAGAAACTGGGTCAAGTTCTTTCTTCATAGAAGCTTCTTCTCAAAGGAGCACAAGATAAATCGCTGTCTTCCCTCAGGCTTTTGGGGCTGAGGAATAATGTGTCGTGGCCCATGCCTGAACGCTGCTCGTGGCTCAGCTGGATGCGTCCCCTCCATACAGCAGAGGCAATATTGGGTCGCTGCCATTAAAGAGCAGAAAAGGTTTGGAGGAGAACAGAGATTAGGGTGGGAAGAGATTAGGTCTGCTGTGCTTGTCCTCCTCCTGTGTCCTCGTGGGCCTCAACAGGACCAGTTTACCCAATTTTACGTAGCTGCTAAGGAGGAGCGAGCAACACGAGCTCCACTGTTACTTCTTCCTTCTACAGAGCGCTGCCAGAAATTAATTCTGACAGAAAACAGGGAAGAATGCAAACTCTCAAACTGGAAAGTGGGGAAAGAAATGCCACGGCTTACGAGGGAGTTATTTCCATTTCTGTAGTTTATCGTGGTCTTTGAAATCCCATTCACCTACAGTACAATGCATCTGCTTTTTTGGGCTGAGCCCAGCCTCTCCCGTTAGCCGCTGGCATGAAGGAATGTGAAAAATAGAGGAAAAGCAGCAGAAACCAGCAAGGGGAGTCTGCGGAGCGGGAAGGGACTGTGAGCCTCCAGGCATTTCCATATACACCCCGTGGTTAGGAGCTAACTGCTGAAAACAAAAGCAGGAGCAACATAAAGGAGAAAAAAAATCCATATTAATCCTTTGAATCTGTATTCACTTCCTGTGAGTGAATGAGAACTTTTAAAAATATATCTTTTGTCTCATTTTTCTTTAGTATGGAAAGTAAATTTTCAGCGAGAAACTTGAAAGACTTTATCAGTTTTTCCTCCTTCTCTTGAGAATAAAGTGCTCTTTCGTCAGACCTTTTATAACTTTAAATGTGAAACTCTCTCCCAGCATCATGGTTTCTGGAGACAATAAAAGCTGGTGCTAATGCTGTCATTTCTCACACTTCTTGCTGCTCCCTCTGAAATCGTATTTGTTTATATTCTGCAGATCTTATGAAAAGAAAAAGTGGTCAAGTGGTTGAATTCATGCGCTGTGGCGTATAGCAAAGCAGAGAGCATTTGGGCATTAGCACCTTTCAGAGGGAAGGTGATAACTGCAGAACCTAGTATTTCAGAACCTATAAATAAAAGTAATATATTAAAAAAGAACTTCACTGAAGACTTAAGTGGCAACAGCTGAAGGACCTTTTCAGCTGGAACAAATCTGAACTTTTTCTTTCTGCTGTCAAGCTGCAACCCCAGTAAATCCTAAATGTTTTCTGTGGATTTAGTGACTGGGTAGAGTTACAGTAATTCAAAAGAAATTCATGTCCTTGCCAATGCCTATTAGTCACACTTGCTGGAATTCTGTCTGCTCTGCTCCTAACACCATCTCAATGCCATCTGGATCCCTTAATAGCGTCTTCCCAACACATACTTTTTCTGCTCCATTCAGTAGTTTCCTGTTCAGCAATAGCTTTTCCACATGGCCATGTCCTCCTCGCAGATGGGGCCTCTGTGAGACATGTCCTCATCGGCGATACCCACGCTGCTCTACGGGCAATCGCATAACACATCTGAGAACATTAAAAACTAATAAAAGAAAGATAAAGGGGTGATGGTGGGGAGCTGTTGCCAGTTAACTCCAGTGAAAAGCTCGGGGCTGAGAGAGACTTTTGGAAATGCCTCGATGCTGTTGAAAATCAAACAGATTCCCGCTTCTTCCTTTCTCAAATGGGAGCAGCCTGGCCTTTCTCTCTAGCAGCTGTTGCTCACCATCTCAGCACTTTTTAGATAGCCTGAACACACACGGTGGGATGTCTCCTGATTCTCACAAGGGTCATTTCAGGAGACCTGAGGCTGTAATTTTTATTTTTTCTTGTTCTCTCTTCTAATTTGGGACAGTGAAACATGCGGTTAAAAAAAAAAGCTCGGTTTTCGAAAGTGGGAAAATCCACAAGTCTGAGCAAATGCCAGTGAATCTGTATTCTTGCACTAAATTCGATCTTGTGAAAGGCTGCAGAGATGGCTTGAATTTACCTTGTACCTGTGGAGCCTTCGACTCTGGTTATGTTATCTGTGTCTGGTGCAGGAAAAGTCTTCCAGAAATGCAAAGAGATCTTTGCCAGAGTTTAAATATTTTCATGTTTTCAAACTTCTGTATGGAGAAGTCAGTAATTTTTCCAGGAACTAATCTGAATGATTTTTTCCCTATATTGCAAAACTTGAGAATGGTCTCAGTGTTTCAGAAAGAAACTGATGTTTCTTCCTTCCTCGTGCCGCAAGGCTGCTTTTAAAATGGGCACCGACATTCATTCTGGGCCAAACATTAAGTTGATAGATGGTTGTGCTGTACCCAGATGTTTCTGTACTCTGTTTTTTTGTGGTTTTCACATGAATTTACCTTGGATTGTTCTCTCTCCCTGAAAGTAATTCCCATATGTAACAAGTTGAGGCATGCAAATCGGTGATAAAATAGCATCACATATCTTGTGCAGATGTCCCTGGACAGAGAGAGCACAAGGTGCATGCAGACTAAGGCTGCCTTTGTGGACGCCGGCACATCCAAAAGGAGTACGCAGTTGGCCCTGTACCTGAATTTACGTAAATGAAAAAATTCAAGTGCCAAGCCAGTAAATATTTTTCAATATTTGACTGCCGTATCTTAACCAGCAGCTGCAAACGCTTTGCTGTGTTTATATATAGATAGGATTTCCCTTGCTTCTCTCTCTTTGCCATTGGGAAGAGTTCCCTAGGGCTGGAAAGCAAAGCTAAAATAGCACAAACTGTTTGCTAATGGTTCTTAATGCTTTCCCACTGGAGATTCAGGACACTTAACAGTGTTAAAAATAGGTTAGAAGAGGGATAAGTAGTGAAAGCACTAGTCCGTCCTAAAAACCTCTCTGGTACAAAGAAGTTGCAGCAATGTTCCCGGTCTTCAGCACAGAGGAAGCGGCAGGTTTTGTCTCCGAAGGGAGCTGGGATGCTGGGATACGGGGAAGGAGCGGGCACCCGAGGGACGAGCCCAGGGGCGAGCTCATGGGGGAGAGGCTGCGAGCTTCGGCCACACTCGCGGGCGCTCTTCTGCACGCTGCCAGTCACAAAACACACGGTGCGGGTATGTCTGCTGCCCGACGGCGGGCACCCCGGGCTCTTTCTTCAGTGAGGCACGAAGGGCACAAACAAATTATTAAATCTTAAAATTGCAGGTGAAATAGAATAAAAATATGATGACTTAAGCCTGCCCTTGTTACAGCTCGCTTGTGTCTCGCGTCTTTGTGAAGTGTTTTATGGTGACCGCTGTGAACGATTTTTAAAGGGCATCTAAGAGGCCTGAGCTTAAACCTCTACCTGCAGAGAAGTTCTGCAGGCAGATAACGGCAACATCACGTTATTTGGGAGGCTGGATGGGGAGAAATTTGTTCTAAATGAAAATTCAGCATGTCAAGAGTGGAGAAAGTACTGATGAGAGTCCTGTGTCTGGCTCTGACCGTTCAGGAGCTGCTGCACTGTAGTTCCTCAGAGAAAAATGTTGTTCTTCTTGTGGCCTGTTCTGCAATCCATTTAGAAACACGCTGCTAAAAGCATTAATTCCATTTTGAATTTCCATTTTTTCCGACCTTTTCAGTCTCCTGCTTCTTCAGCGTCCTCCATCCCCGCTAGCTTTGTGTCTCTTCTGGAAATTATTGATGATCTTTTTTAATGGCCCAGACAATGCTAAAAGCCGTTCCTCGGCATTTTAGAAGCTTCCAAGAGTGAAAAAAAAAAGATACTTTATAATATCTGAAAATTACCAGCAGGGGTCGGGCTTACAAATAATTTAAGCAATTCAAACTGCGTATTTATAAAGGAGACATCTCTGCGCTGAACATGTTGTAGGTCAACCAGCTTCTTTGGAAAAGTTTGTAACTTTTGCCCAGTGAATAGGAGAGATGACTTCTTAATTGCACCTCAAATTTCTGTTGCATAATTTGGGGATATTGGCAGATGGGCGCATTGTTTATTGTCACGGCGCGAGGATTTTCAGCTTGATTTAGGTCATTTAAAAGTGTGTATTATCAAGCAAGATAATTAATTTTTTAAAAATATTCTGGAAAAGGATCCTGAGAAAATTGAATGCAAAGATCAGTGTTAATATGCATTAGTTGCACAGTTAATCCCAGGACGGTAACCTGCGAAAGGTGAGGTTCTTGAAGCAGCTTTAAGGTTTTTGTATTCTGTGCTTAAATGCAAGCAAAAATGTTATATTGAATGTTTTATAGTAATAAAACCTGCCTTTGATAGAGTTCTCTGAAGGATTCTACAATCATTTGGCTAAGGCTGATATGGTTGATATAATATATTTGACCTTTCGAAAAGCTTTGAGCCAAAGGTCACAAAGAAACTTTACTCTGATGGAATAAGAAAGAAGGATCTTTGCTGGATTAATAAGAATATAAACATCACAGAGGGCTGGCTGTCCCGGTGTGCTGTCTGCAGGGGTGGCCGGTGGTTAAGGACCATGCAAATAGGACAAAGCTCCTGGGGTACGCTGCCAGAAGGCTCTCCTAGCTTCTAGTGCCTTGTCTCCACGATTTCCTGAGCCAGAGATAATATAGTGTCTTTCTACTTTGTACAGCTTGATGCATTTTTCTTCCGTTAATTTGCTTATGTAATACAAAGTTAAAAGATGGAAAATCAAAGAATAAATGTCGTTTACACAATCCCAAGGGGTTTTCACTAGGTCCTAGAATGGGTTTTTATTGGGAACTTGTTGTCCAGCACAGAGGAGTTTGTGAGTAGTGAGGTGACAGAATTTGATATAATATGAAATTATTCAGCTTATCAGACTGCTCAGCAGAATCTTATGATGCTGCTCGAGATGGGAAATGAAGTTGTATGTCAATAATTGCAAAACACATGCACATAAGACGCCTTTACTCTTACTCCCACAATAGTGGGCTCTAAATGAGCTGTTCTCACTCAAGAAAGAGATCTCACATTATTGCGAACAGTTTTCTAAAAATACCAGGTAAGTGCTCAGTAGTTAAAAAGACAAATAGAATATGAGGAATTACTGGAAAAGATGATGAGAACAAAACAGAAAGCCTCATTATACCACTGAATACATCTGAGTGCTGTTTGTAGTTCTAGCTTTTCTTATAGCAAAAACTCTATTAAAACTTGAAGAACAACAAGGAAGGGCAGTAAAGATGAGCAGAAATATGGAAAATCCTTGATGTGAGGGAAGACTAAATTGAGATTTTTCAGGAAATAATAGAGGAGACCTGTAGAGCGATATGGAGAAGGGAGCAGGATACAATTATTCACAACTTTTCATAGCAGAACTAACAGGCACTCAGTAAAATAATCACATATGAAGTATAAACCAAAATGAACTAATTTTTCTTACAGCACATAATTAAATTGTGGAACTTACTGCCAAGCAGTATTGTGAAGGCCAAAAGTATAAATCAGATCAAAAAGATTTGATGCACTCATGGAGATTTTAGCTGTTGGTGGTTGTTAAACATGATGATCTAGACTCAGTCTCTGGTTCAGGAAGTATCTAAGTTCGATTTGCTTTATATTCAAATTGTATATTTTTAATATACTTTTAAGAATCATATTTTCATCATACAGACACGTATCTTTTAGTCATATGTTTTAGCTGCCTCAGTAGTATAGCTTTGTGATACTGAATACAGGAATAATCTGATACTACCGATGATTTTATGTTTTACTTGATTATTTGTGGTGGGACTGTGCAGGGACACAATGTCTATTAACTTTCCCTTCTTTTCCAGGCTGAAAATTGAGGAGCTGGAGGCTGAACGTAGCAAGCTGGAAGAGGAGAACAGATCTCTGGAAATTAAACTGGAGAAGCTAACTCTGCAGGTAGGAAACGTGGAGGTCCAGGGCAGCTGGGGAGCCTGACGTAGTCCATTCGCCATAGCCATCCGAACGGATGTGCCAGAATGCTCACAGCACGCAACTTCACCTCCCTTAGTCTGGGCAAGGAATTTTTCAGAAGCCTGTGCAGACTGCACCAAACCAGCCGTATCTCTGACCGGGTTCCTGGAGTGTTTTCATGTCAGATGCAGTCACACAAATGCAGTTGTCTCTTTCGATGCCTTTGCCTAGAACCTCTTCTTTTTCTTCCTGGAGCCTTTTAAATAACTCCATTTTAAATAACTCCACTACCATAAGTTGTTTGTCTCCAAATTCATTCATGCCACAGCAGGAGTGTAGAGGGGGCTTAACGGCACGGATCTTATAGGAAAATCTGAGCTCCATTTGTACTGAAGACGCCACTGCTGCTGTCAGTGATGGAGATGGAGACCACCAGTCGTTGCCTCATTAGGTAGTAGTTTTCCAAGCCAGGAAGCACCAATGCTGTTGAGAAATGACACGGCAGCATCTCCAGATCACAGACACGGAGAGGCAGAAGGTGTGGAGTCAGAAGGATGACAGGGTGTGTTTCTTTTGCTGTGTTACTGTCGGTGGTTTACGTTTTCCTGAGCAGTGCTGTCCCGTATGGCAGAAGGTCTTCAGCTTTTCCCTCTGGATAGACCAGTGAAGTCCCACCCTCCGTGAAGGAGGACAAGGGCACCTGCAGTGTTGAGTGGTCTGTCTATTCAGCCAGCTCCCGTTCTGGGAACGGCTTTCCTGTGCAGAGGGGGGATGTGGGGGTTGCTTCAAGCTTTTACAGTGTTTCCTGTTTGAAAGGTGCTGGAGCAAAGAAGAACCTGAGCCTGTTTGTTTAATCAAAGCCCATCCTGCAATGAACAGTGTTATCTCTCCCTTCTGTTCTCTCTGATATGCTGAACAATTCGGCATCGTAGCATTTCATTCTCTTAATTTTTCTTTCTTTCTCTCTTCTTTTTTTCCATTTTCGTGTAAATTGCTTCATGGTAGAAAACCTGCAGGTTTGAAATTACTCACATTTCAGACAGACCATTGATTTTATCTTGACACCTATTAGAGGCGAATCAAATCTTTTTTTTTATTATTACCAATTCCTAGAGACAGGAGAAGTGACAGCTTTGATAAAGCAGGGAGGTAGGAGCTGCTGAGCATCTCTGCTGAGCCATGTTTAGTGTGAAACCTGTCACCCGGCTCTCCTTTAATTGGGTTTCAGTCATCAGAAGGAGATGAAAGCTTTGGGCTGGTGTTTGGATGCTGAGGTCTCCAACAAACACAACAGCAGCTTTGGTTTCAGAGCAGATTACAACTCACTCAGGTCACATTTAATCTGCCAACGTTGTCTTACAATGACTGCAGGCTTGCCAGGAAGGCCTGACCAGAGGAATTCCCTATTTCCTTCATGATGTCTAAAGAGGCTCTGCTTTGTTTCCTCCTACTGCTCTTGAGATGCCAGAACACCAGACTTTTTAAATTGCACATTCCAGGAAGAAAGATCCGAAGTCTTTGGTGTAGTCTTGCTAATTGTCTGCCTTCTGGTGCTCAGTAGAGATCAGCAGCAGCTGCCGTTGGGGTAGCTGAGCTTTCACAGTATAGCAAAGTGGTGTGGTGAGAGGAACAAGATGGGACCTTCGTGCTGTGGTAAAGGTACTGTACAATAACAGCGGAACCGTTCACCAAAAAGGCTTTGAAAACTCGTCACAGGATGCCCATGGCCTATCTCGTTAATGGTGCTCGCTGTTTGAATGCAGTATTGTGCAGGTCAGGGCTTTGTGGAGGGAGCCGGGGAGAGCAGGAACAACCTGCAGATAGAGTAAAACTTACATGGGAAGGATGAGGTAACAGGTAGCTGTGGAAAAAAGAGAAGGAAGGTGGTCATCTGCCTTGGGAGGTCTAGGAGAGAGAAATCTGCCAGTCCCCCAAAAGGCTGGTTAGTGAGCTGAATTAAGGTAATCGTGCTCTTACATCTGCTTTGCCAAGGCTGAGGACATGGCTTTAATTCTTTATTTACCAAGAGGTAGCTCTCCCCTTCCTTAGCTTTTCACTTTCCTTGTGTCTTAGAGGACTGGCTGCCAAAAGCAGCTTCTCTGAAAGAGGAGTCGAGGGAAGCATAAATATGGGAATATGTAAGCTGAATGCTAAAATGTCAGTATTGATCAGTGTGTGCCCACCTGAATGGTCAAGATTTCAGAACTTCTCGGAGGAGGAAACATCAGCCTTCCCATTTTTTATTCACCTTGAGAATCAAATATCTTGACAGGCCAAGCTTAGAATGACTTTTTTTTATAAACACAATGGAAGAAGGTTCCTTACAGTGGGAACCCACTAAGTTGAGGATAAGCTTAGAAATTCACCTCTTCTATCACTACTGTGCAAATACGCTGAAAATATTATTATACTCTCAGATAAGGACACTGAAATGTTGCTAGTTTGACATATTATTTATTCCCATCTCTGGAAGAAATCACTGGGAAAGGGTGGGTTAAAATAACGTCTGTCTGTCACAAAGGAAGAAAAGGCAAGACAAACTTTATATACAGAAATCACAAGAAAATTTAACTGAACAGAAAGATGATTGAAATTACAAATATGGGAAAAGCATGGCATCAAATCAAATAAAGGTGTAAGAGAAGGTAGGGGGTGACATTGAACAAGGTGGGATGAAGGCGATTTCTGACAAATCTTTATCTGCAGTTCCTTCTTTTTTAAAATAAATCCTCTGACTTTCTGGAATTGTATCAACTAAATGAAAGATACATAGGAGGGGTGTGAATTTGGAAGAGGAAGAGGCAGGATGTAGAATTAAGGCTTTGACTGCTTTATACTGGACTGAAGTCTGTTGAGTTCACAGCGTGCAGTGAATGAAATCTAGGGAGATACGGCTAATATCGGGTAATTAAAAACATCAATGTTTTATTGTACTGATGTGTGGAAAGGAGTAAAGTTTAAGAAATGTTTGCCTCCTTTCTCATGCCATTGTATCCGAGTCTTGGCACATGAATTTTGCTCATTTCTGCTTTGGCTGCTGCTAACAGCAGCCCACTTTGGGAGCTACAGGACCCCGACGCACCGGCCAGAGGGCAAGCGAGCACGTAGACAGGTACTTTTGTGTTAGGTGTGTGATTCACGCTCCCCGAGCTCAGTATTAACAAATAAAGAAACTGAGATACTGATAGCTGTCCACAGCAGTGTATATAACATCTGACATCTTTGTATTCTGTGTTTGTGTGGGGACAGCTTGAATTATGGCTGAAGGTGCTTTCCATCTCCACACACCCCTTCTTCCAAAGCCCCTTGGCTCTTGACACCTAGCTGCAGGCTGCATTGATTTTCCTTCACTGGTATAAAGACTTTAGCATGGATATTACTCACTGGTCAGGTCTTTACTGCTAATAAAACCCTCAGATTACAAAAACACAAGAAATGTTGAAACTGTAGAGAAATGACACCCTGCTGAGGGTGCCTCCCCGTTGCCCAGGACATTAGCTTAAGAAAAACATTTGAACTGTGGCTCAGGAGAGGGATTCAAGAAACGTATAAAAAGAGCAGGTTTAACCAGACGATTTTATCTCCTCTCCTCTACCCATCTTTCTTTCGAAGAAGCAAAAAAGGCTTCCAGGAAAGCAAATGCGCTGGTACTGGTCGGCCTACGGCAGGCAGACTTGCTGAGATTTCGGTGAAAGGTTTGGTTTGTTCAGTTATCCGAAGTGATGTGGACCATCTTCCTGAGCTGCTGGTGGAAAAGTGCAGCTCGATGCCAGGAGCAAAAGAGACTGATCAAATCAGTGCTTTTTGGATAAAGTGGGAGGAAAGACTTGTGAGGAGTGTTCAATTAGCATTTCTTACTGCTAGGAGCCTTGTGTTTACAGGCAACCAAGCGGATGTGAAGTGTTCCTTATGCAAATACTACTCTCCTGCTTTTCCTGCTCTCTTCTACTCTTTAAGCTGAAGGAGAAGAGATTCTTCAAGTTTGACTGCTTCAAGGAAGATTGATTAAAATCAGCTGCAGTTTGACATAATTGGATCCATATGCTTGGAGAGGGAGCAGGACTAGTTAGAAGTCCTCGTAATTAGTTCACAGCTGGTTGGTGAGAAAAATGAAACTCCAGTTAGAGTTTAGATAAGCGGATCTGTACAGATAAAAGGCAGGGAGATGTTTTTTACACTGAGACGTGTTTGGGCTTGAGCGTTGCCTCTAGTCCCATACCCAAGCTAGCCTAATCCCTTTGAGCGTGTGCACGTGTATTTGTGAGGCTAAATGGGAGGAGTCTTTATTGTCCTGCTTGTTTCTGAGGGAGAGGAATCAGCTGTGGATGCTGGCGGTGAAACCTGAAGAGGGTGACGGAAAGCTGCGAGGGGATCTGAGGGACTAGACGAAACTCTACAAGGTTACTTTGGCTGCCTGAAAAATTCATGGTTTGGCACAAACCCTGAACTGAGCAACTTTGAGTCAGATGCCCCTGGTCGCAGAAGTAACTAGTTGTGTTTAGCCTTTCTGCAGGTCAGTAGTATGATAGCTACACTCACAAAAATGCAATATTAGTCATACATACTGAAATAATTGATTTTTGCCCATTATCTCAAAGAGCTCCAAAAGAGTTGACAAGCTACATAGTTTGAGGACAGTCATCAGAAAACTTTCCCCAGCCAGAAGCTGGTATTTATGCTAAATTTTGCTGTCAGAATAGAAGGGACTGGATTCCCTATTACAGTGTCCACAAGGGAACTGCCTGAGAAAAACACACACCACAAAGTATTGGGGGGTATTTTGTCATGCTGGCATGACTTTATTAATGTGTTTTGAGGTGTTCATTAATGCATGTGCAGTAGTTCCTTTCTAAATGTCTAACTTTGCTATTGTTATTGACCATTTTACATTTTAAGGGATTAATCTCGTTAAATTAAATCTTAGTTTCTGCCAGGCTTTAAATTGATTATTTTTGCACAAATTAAAGCTTAAACCACTTGTCCAC